ATTCTCACAAGTTCTGGCAAGTATATTCTCACAAGTATATCCTCGTGAGTATATTCTGGCAAGTATATTCTTGTAAGTATATTGTCACAAGTGTATTCTCGCTAGTATACTTTCATATATTCTCGCAAGTATATTTTCGCGAGTATATTCTCACAAGTATATTCTGGCAAGTATATTCTCACAAGTATGTTCTCGTGAGTATATTCTGGCAAGTATATTGTCACAAGTATATTCTCGCGAATATAGTCTCACAAGTATATTCTGGCAAGTATATGCTCACAAGTATGTTCTCGTGAGTATATTCTGGCAAGTATATTCTCACAAGTATATTCCAGTGAGTATATTGTGGACGATATATTCTCATGAGTATATTGTCACAAGTATATTCTGGTAAGTATATTCTATCAAGTATATTCTGGCAAGTATATTCTTACTAGTATATTCTCGCGAGTATATTCTGGCAAGTATATTCATTGTCACGTTTATTCTAGTGAGTATATTGTCACAAGTATATTGTCACAAGTATATTTCGCGAGTATATTCTCACAAGTATATTCTGGCAAGTATATTCTCTCTAGAGTATACTAGTGAGCATTATCTGGCAAGTATATTCTCACTAGTATATTCTCGTGAGTATATTCTTGCAAGTATATTCTTGTAAGTATATTGACACAAGTATATTCTCATGAGTACATTGTCACAAGTGTATTCTCGCGAGTATATTTTCACAAGTATATTCTGGCAAGTATATTCGTGTAAGTATATTATCACGTATATTCTCACGAGTATATTGTCACAAGTATATTGTCACAAGTATATTCTCATAAGTAAGTTCTCGTGAGTATATTCTGGCAAGTATATTGTCACAAGTATATTCTCGCGAGTATATTCTCACAAGTGTATTCTTGCAAATATGTTCTCGCGAGTATATTCTCACAAGTATATTCTGGCAAGAATATTCTCACAAGTATATTCCCGTGAGTATATTTTGGCAAAATTTTCTCAGGAGTATATTGACACAAGTATAGTCTCACAAGTATATTCTCGCGAGTATATGCTCACAAGTATATTCTCGTGAGTATATTCTGGCAAGTATATTCTTGTAAGTATATTGTCACGTTAATTCTAATGAGTATATTGTCACAAGTATATTTTCACAAGTATATTTCGCGAGTATATTCTTACAAGTATATCCTGGCAAGTATATTCTCACAAGTATATTCTTGCCAGTATATCCGGGCAAGTATACTCTTGTAAGAATATTGTCACAAGTATATTGTCACACGTATAATCCCACAAGTATATTCTCATGAGTATATTCTGGCAAGTATATTCCCACAAGTATATTCTCGCGAGAACATTCTGGTAAGTATATTCTTGTAAGTATTTTCTCGCGAGTATATTCTCACAAGTATATTCTGGCAAGTATATTCTCACTAGTATATACTAGTGAATATTTTCTGGCAAGTATATTCTCACGAGTATATTCTCGTGAGTATATTCTGGCAAGTATATTCTTGTAAGTATATTGTCACAAGTATATTCGCATGAGAATATTGTCACAAGTATATCCTCACGAGTATATTCTCACAAGTATATTATCGCGAGTATTTTCTTACATGTATATTCTGGCAAGTATATTCGTGTAAGTATATTGTCACGTATATTCTCACGAGTATATTGTCACAAGTATATTTTCATGAGTATATTGTCACAAGTATATTCTCACGAGTATTTTCTAACAAGTATGTTCTCACAAGTATATTCTCGTGAGTATATTTTGGGAAGTATATTCTTGTAAGTATATTGTCACAAGTATATTCGCATGAGAATATTGTCACAAGTATATCCTCACGAGTACTTTCTGGCAAGTATATTCTCA